TTTTCCTTTCTACCCTCTTATTCAGTATACTGGTAGGTATTTCTGCGATGGCCTCGCGGCCTCCTCCCTTTGGGTCGAGTTTGCAACGCTTTTCGAGATTCACTTTCATCCTTCATCCAATAAACGTGGCCAAACGACTTCAGCTGTCAATTTACAAGCATGGTGTTTAGCGCCACTATCTTCAGCACATCCCTTATCCATTCATTTCTTATAAGGTCCCTTCTGGTCTTTCCAATGACTCTCGGGAAAACTTCATCTCAGCAGCTGTCACCAATCTGACCATCTTGTTCAACATATCTTTCACTTTCGTAAATAAGGGTTGGTAAGTACACATACTTGTATATATGCCATTTATTGTCCCACCATGGTGTGACAGATGAGGTAATAAATCTGGTTGGCTTTGGAAATCATATTTTATACTTCTGGGTCCAACTTCTCTGCATTACTAATGAGTGTCCCCAAATAAATAAACTCCTGTACAACCTCGAGTATATCACAATTCCAGATCAGCTTGACATATATTTGTTTCACTTTTGAATAACTAATATTCATACTCTTCGATGTGTTAATAGCCATTCCTTTGCGAAAGAGGGCCTCTCTAGTATCTGATCTTAGTTCATGCCATCAATAATCAATAAACAGAATAAAAACGAAATTCTTGAATCAGATTTTAGATCAAGTAAGATATTTAAGAAAAAAAAAATTAATAAAACCTAGTATAATAAGAAACGTTGGCTGGAGATTACAGTCATTTGAAGTACACAACATAAATTACTTTTATTTCTTGCTTTATTGGCCCTCATGAAGGTCTAAAATTTAGACAGGAGCGTTTGCACAAAGGAAATAAATATTATTTATTTTTGTTTGCATCAAAATACAGAAATCTCTGTCCAACTTGTCTTATAATGAAAAACAGTCAACAATTTCCCGATCAGTATAAAACCTACTAATTGACTCTAATTGAAAATTTTGTCAGGACTAACTGTTCTTTTAAAATTTTATAAGATTGGTTATCCATACACCTTGTATGTGAATTTCATTACTTTTTTCATACTTTATGCTTATTGTCATCAATTAGTCAACAGATACAGAGAAATATTTGAGGTTAAAAAAAATTGCATTTGTTACGATTTGATAGGTCTCTTTGATTCGATTCTTATAAGTTTCTAAAAAAACTCTTTCACTAATCTATCATTACTTTCTGGGTTCGGTAAACATATAAAGAAGGTGCCTTGATGGTTAGTTCAAGTGCGAGCTCGAAGAGATGATTTATTGGGAAGGAGCGACACTCTCACCATAAACTGAAGAGGGTGCTTGATACTCTCACACCTAACTGGGAGGAGGTTTAAGACGAATAGGCTTTCAGCCTGTGTTTGCACTCAGGGGAGCTTCTCTGTTACTCCCGAAGTATTGGTTTATTTTTGGAGACCAAAGTACTGCAATCAGGGGCAAACTTCTCACTAGGTTGGAAAGCATTTCGGTTACCAACCACTGTATCTTCTGAATTCGTTCAATAATTTGAAATAAAAATAAAATAATTAAAAACGAAGTAGTCTGTTAAAAACGAAGTAATATATATATATATATATATATATATATATATATATATATATATATATATATATATATATATATATATATATATATATATATATATATATATATACATATATATATATATATATATATATATATATATATATATATATATATATATATATATATATATATAATTAAATTTATTTTTTACATAGTGTAATAACACGTTTAAAAGTAATGATTAATACTGAAAGAAAATTCTAAAGAAGTTAATAATCATTTGAAACAGCTTAGCCAAATATATTTCTAAAAAATTTCTAATTTCCATACTCTGATATTGAAAATCTTTGACTATAAATCAAATTGAATTAAATAGGTAATTTAAAGTATTAAAGAAAATAAATAAAACAGAATTTTATATATATATATATATATATATATATATATATATATATATATATATATATATATATATATATTTTTTTTTTTTTTTTTTTTTTTTTTTGTAGCGCCCTTACTCAATCTCCGCTGGCTTTCAATGCTAGTGAAATGGTAAGGAAGAAGCGCAGGGATCTCCTGAAGCCTTGATTTCCATCCACGTGTGGGGGGATAAGTATGATTCGGAGTTCCTATGGCCGACTGTAAATAATGTAAATAGGTATGCCTGCGTCTAAGATGTTTATTTTCATTACTTTTTTTTTCTCACTATGATATTTTATTTTGTTCTTTTGTAGCTTTATATTATTTGAAGTTAGCTTATTTTTTATTTTTTTTTTTAATTTGTAAATATGGTGTGAATGTGCTCTCAGAACTCTATTATAAATGTTCTTTATTGAGACAGATTGTAATATTTATCAATAAACAAAAAAAAAATATATATTTTTAAATATTACTGATATATTTAATATAGCTGTAGCTTCTCTCTATGAGTTACTATCGCTTCAAATTTTTCATTTTTTTAAAACCATTAAGACATCAATAAGTGTTTCTCCAGACGTTTATATGAAATCTTAGATTCATCTCACTAATAAAGAGGAAAGTTTTCTATTGATGAAAATTATTAGTGCTATTATCATCAAGAGGGTCGAAGTTTATCGTCACTTATACTTATTTTACAGAAACATGGATTCTATATCGAATAATTAATAATAAGAAGAATGACATCACCTAAATTTTTCATTAAAGCTTTGACCGAAATTCGTTTCCAATACTCATTCCACCGATGAGTTGGTCAGAACCCGAATTTACAAAATCTGGCCGTTAAATTTATTAACCGTTTACCCAGGGCCGAATTAAGTTAACCGAATTATTCAAAAGCCCCTGTAATAGATATCCCCTTGGTTCATCATCTCTTTACAAACCATTACATTCTCTTACATACACAAAAATGAAGCGACAGTAAATTACATTAAAGAGTTAATTATTAGCTCACATTGACCATGATAACATTAACATATCGCTTATAGTTTTTATAAGCCAAATATAATTTCTTTCTTATCATTTTGGATCCCAATCGTCAAAATTAAAAGAAACAAACTAAACAAGTGGTTGAAAATAATTATTGGAGGTTCGGAGCTATAAATAAACTGAGTCACCCACAACCCAGCAAACAAATTAGAACTAGAGATATATAAAAAAAGAGGAATTTTTATTAATGTATTCCTTAATTGAAGGTGTTATAGGTCAAGGTTTCAGAGTTCCATATTTCAGAGTTGTCGTGCAGACAATAATTCGTTGTCGATTGAATTAAGAGATTTTCAATTTATCAGCTCTTATAATTGGAAACATCGTCTATTAAGCTTTTAATTCACGGGTGTGTATGCCACCTTAATATTGTGCCTAAGAAAAAGCCAAGATACCGAATTGCGAAAACGAAAGAGGTATATGGTTAAAATAACATGTCAGATAGAATTTGCGTCGGAGAGTGAAGGGGAATATTTGCGTTTAAAGTAATTTACTTTTATGCTTTAATTATTAAATCAGTGTTCAATTAAGAAGAAATCTCTTTGTAGACTAAAAAGTATATGATATGAACCTTATTCCTTAACACAATTCACGTAGTTTAACATGCCTAACACAATAAAAATCCATTAGGATAGTTAAAATAAAAAGAATAGATTTATCATTTTTCCGAGTGAAAATTAGGACTGTTATCAAGCAAATAAATGCCGAAGTTCCTTAGGGGAGAGTCTTGGGTCCTACACTTTTCAATATTTATTGCTCAGACATCCCACAACGTCCAGAAACTCTGCGGGTTACATTTTCCGATGTCTCGGCAATTCTAACAACCAAAAAATATGCAGTTAAATCTTCTCAGGTACTCCTATAACACTTCGACGACATAGTTTATTGGGCTAAAAGATGGAGGATAAAAATGAACGAGTCCAAGAGCCAATTTGTTTCATTTACACTTCGGCATGACTCTCGTCCTCAAGTATTTTTTAACAACATCTCGAGACCGAATTCAAATACAGTACGGTATTTAGGTCTGTACTTAGACAAACGACTGATATGGGTATACCACATAAAACAAAATAGAAAAGAACTTAATCAGCAATACGGACTTCTTTCTAGGCTACTTGACAGACGTTCTAAATTATCTGTAACTAATAAATTAACTATTTAAAAAATCGATATCACACCCCTTTGGACATGAGGCATCAATTTATTTGAAATAGCAATGACATCAAATACAAAATGAATACAATCGTCATAGTCAAAAGTTCTCCAAAAAATTATAGACTCCCTCTTGTAGGTTTCTAATCTTACGTTACACACTGACCTTGTCATTCCTTTTATCAAAGTATTTGTTAAAGACCGTTTTAATAATTTTCATGACAGACTGACAATAAATTCAAATCCGCTTACTGAGGTTCTGTCTACTCCTACAAATTCACATAATCCACACAGAAGACTGCTGAGGCGCTGGGTCTTACTGCATTGAGCTGCTTGCCATCTTATTATTTTTATGTTATACTTTTTTGTTATTATGTAATTTTCACTAGTTTAGTTTTGTAATTTACTAGCATTTTTTTTTTTTTTACTATTTTCTATTATTCAGATTCTTTTTTTTCCTTCTGTTCTGTTGTCCTTCATATCATATATATTCCTTAAACTCATATTTGCTCATTACCATTGCAGAAAGCAAATTTACCTTGATAAAATAAATATCATATAAATAGTAATGCAATTAAACCATTTGTCTTTTATTTGCCTATCGAATTAGTATTCTAAAGTAAAGATACTGGTTAACAAAAACTAATTTAATACTTTGAATTGGCCAAAATTCACTAATTCAAATCAAAGATTGACCGTGATTACATAGCGTATGTGAACATGAATACCTTAAAATTGTTTATAGGCAGTATTAGCATAGTAAAAATAAAATGCAGCTAATCTCCCTATCTGTAACAACATTGTGTTAACTTGGTTGCTATGGTTGTTAAAATCATATGCAATAGATTTTCAAATAGTATTACACAGGTTAGTGACAATAATACATTCGGAATAGTCCTACACAAGAAATTTACAGCGTACAGTTTCGGTAGTATTGAGAAACTGCAAAATTTTCAATTAGAGTGAACAAACACTCAAAACGTAAGTAACGAAACTAATCCATTTTACATCATTAAAAAATAATGTTAAAAGAAAAATTCGAGATAAATCTTTTAGCATACCCTTTGCTGATACTTATCCTCAGCGTGGTAGGCAATGCAAAAGAAAATATTAAAGGAGGAAAAACTAGCGCAAACCGAGATGAAAATACAAAACGCGATGCAATCACATATCAGGATATCACTGTTGAAACTAAAATTGTTCCTGATTTTAACAATATATTTGATGACATGGAAAAAATACGAAATGCAATACCTGTAGAAAACAATATAAATCTGCCATATGAAGAAATGTTCTTTTTCAGGAAGAAACAAGACAAAACTGAAAATAAAAAATATACTGAGAAAATAAGTGAGGAAATGATAAAAAATCTACTTAATGACAGTGAAGATAAAATTTCAGATAGTGATTTAGGAACTGAGTTGTATAATAAAGGTTCGAAAATGTTGAGTTCCTATCAAAGCAGTAAAATAGAAGCTTATTCTCTGCTTCTTAATGCAAGTAGAATGGGAAGTAAACCAGCAAAAGCCAAAGTCGCATGGGAATTAATGTGCGGAACATACCTACCACAGAACATTTCCATGGCAAAGGAGTTGTTTGAACAGTTAGCAGAAGAAGGAGTTCCGGATGGTCACACCGGAATGGGGTTCCTTCACTCGCTGGGCTTGACAGTGAACGCCAGTCAGGCAAGAGCTCTCCTTCATTACACTGTTGGTGCACTTGGAGGGAGTCATTGGTCGAAGATGATTCTTGGGTTCAGATACTGGAATGGCATATCAGTTACTGCTAACTGCGAAAAATCCCTTGAATTCTACCGCCAGGTTGCTAGTCATGTTGCGTCGCGGGTAGAAGCAAACGGTGGTGTCGTAGTTCACCGTATTAGATTGCTAGACCAGGCCGAGGATCCGGGATACCAAACTGGACTTATTGACAACGATCTCAAGGAATACTACGAGATGTTAGCCGATAAAGGAGATGTTTCAGCACAAGTCGGCCTGGGACAACTATACTACCGCGGAGCAAAAGGGTTCTCTCGGGACTACGGGAAGGCTCTGTTATATTTCCAAAAAGCTGCCGAGGCAGGAAATATAATAGCTATGGCCTTTATGGGAAAAATATATTTAGAAGGTGATGAAAATGTCAAGGTTAATCTTATGAAAGCTTATCTAAATTTTAAAAAATCGGCAGATTTTGAAAATGCAATTGGACAGTACGGGATTGGCCTTATGTATTTAGAAGGAAAGTATGTTGAAAAAAATAACCGGAAAGCATTATTTTATTTATCTCGATCTGCTGACCAAGGATGGGCTGAGAGTTTACTGCTACTCGGAACGATGTATCTTCATGGTACGGAGTTGAAAAAGGACTACAAAATGGCGCGTAAATATTTCATCATGGTTTCACAGGTTGGACATACTTTGGGATACTTTAACTTGGGGCAAATGCATGCTTCTGGGATTGGCACCATGAGGTCTTGCACGACTGCAGTAGAACTGTTCAAAACTGTAGCCGAGAGGGGAAACTGGGGGACGCACTTAATGGAAGCGTACAACCATTATAAAAACAATAGGTACAACCAATCTTTTGTCATTTACGCTCTTTTAGCAGAGATGGGCTATGAGGTGGCACAAAACAATGTAGCGTTTCTTCTTGATAACGGCTTGTTTACTTATTTAGATCGTGATGAAGAGAACAGGTACGTCCGGGCTAAAACCTACTGGAGCAGGTCAGCGATGCAAGGCAACCCATCGGCCTTAATTAAGTTAGGTGACTACTACTACTACGGACTTGGGACTAAGGAAGATTACGAGACAGCAGCCACTTACTACCGCGTGGCCTCTGAGCAGTTTCGGAACCCTCAGGCCATGTTCAATCTCGGATACATGCACGAGCAGGGCCTCGGCTTGAAGAGGGACCTCCACCTGGCCAAGCGCTGCTACGACATGGCATCGGAGGCTAGTCCAGACGCTGAGTTTCCGGTTTTGATTGCTTTAACGAAGTTGTACTTCATGTCTGCCATTTGCATGCTCAAAGAGCTGGATTGGTCGCAGGTGCTGGCTTTACAAGGAGTGAATGCGTACCTTGGCCACAACTGGGATCTCTATCTCTGCGGTTTCCTTTGCTTTTGTATAACGTACATCATCCACTTCCGAGTTAACCGGAGAGACCTCTTGCGCGATATGATTAACTTCTTGTGATGTAGTTATTAACAAAATGCATATTTTGTTAATTGACGAAGAATTGTTCCGTTTCCATTAAAAGTTTTCATTTTTATTCTAATTTACATCAATTACAAGCAAATCAACTTGAATTATATTGTTTTATATCCATGTAAAAATGTTCATTCCTTTATTTATTATGTCAAAACTGATTTCTGTTAAAAAACATAATTTTTTTTAAATTAAAGGAATTTTTCGATTAACCAATACCATCTCCTTTATAAAAAATATATTGCAGATAGCAAATTATATTTGTTTTGTAATGTTGTTAATTAAATTAACATGAATTTGTTTATAATTGTTATTAACATAACAAATCATTTAATTTTATGAGTTAAAAAAAAACTACCAGAAATAGTTTACTTAATTTAATAAAACTACAGAAAATTATGATACACAATTGGTAATTGACACGATTTTTAAGAGTTTCTCAATTTTATTTAAATAAAATAGGTTGAACGGATTTGAGTTTATTCATAGAATTAGAGTAAAAACAATTTAATGTATCGCTTTAGAAATTAGCGACCTCTAGAAAATCAACGCTATAATTCACAGCGGTCCACAGGTGAACTTTATACATTTCTTGCGTTCATTTTGATTCTATAAAAAATCAACTAACCTCATTGATTTACTATTGCTACTAGGTTAGTAATCTTCTTTCATCAATTAATGATTAGGTAATTAATTTTAAATTACAGCAACAAGCAACTGCCGAAAAAGTGACAGGTCTATAAAGTGTTCCTTTTTCTATTAAATCGTAAAATAGTTATTAAAAAATATATCTTTCAACAAATATTTGTCTACTACTTATTAAGAAAAAAATATTTTCATTCATTATCAAAAAAGCAATTATTTTAGTGCAGAAATAAAACAATGGCGCCCGAATCCATTTGAAGGAGTAGCTCTAGTGAAGGCCATAAACTTCGGCCAAAACGCCGGCAAAATCAAAATAAATTTGATTTATTTTTGTGAACATTCATGATTGCAATCCCCAACCAATTTCTTTTCAATAATTAACAATTTAGTTTTCCTGATTGTTTTTATTCTTTTTGGTCCTGTATGCAACAACATTATGCCCTTAATATTATTTAATATTATATAACATATTTCCATTATATAACATTTATATTTAATATTATATAACATATTTCCATCTTTCCAAGGCTTACGTAGAGTAGAGACAAAACTTTCGAAACCAGAACTTCAAAAAGAAAAAAAAAATGTAACATTTCAGAATTTGTTCGTTACGCTATCTGAAATAACCGATAAAAAGTACTGTGTTTTTTCTAGTAGAATTATGGTTGGACAAGTGTGGGAGGCAAAGACAGAAAACGGATTATTTGATTATATCTTTAAACCAACGAAGTTTATCATCTATCGATATCATCTTATACAAAATTAAAGTACTTTAAAATTTCTAAAAAAATATTCTGTGTTTTCTGCTAATACCAATGGTGACGTATAACAATATTATCTTATACACCCTGAAAGTATTTCAAAATATTAATAGAAATTATTCAAATCTTTTTTTTCATAGTCTTATGGAGATATTTACAGAATCACTAATATAAAAAAAATTCTCCAAACAACATGTAGTTAACGGAGTTAAAAAAAAAAATTGCCATGCTTCTCCTCCCCCTACCTAATCCCGACGCAGGAAACTTCAGGAGTTTTTAACCATTATAAACAAGAAAGTCATAAACAATGTATACAAGTTTCACTATTAACTCTAAAGTTGTGTTTAGACATTTCATAAACTATTGCAATCACAAATATTTAAATGGTTTCTCCCCTATTCTAATGCTTGTTTGCCTTTGTTTTTTATGTTTTCGATCTGTTTTCCAAACATTTTTATTTCTCTTGTTTCCTATAGACAAGAGAAATAAAAAAAGTTTGATTTAGGGCCAATGTTGCTATTAGTTAATTATATACTTGTGTTGTCATATAAAATATCTAAACGAATCTTAAGGATTTCCTAATAAATACAATAACAAGTAGAATATAAACCATGATATTAGCTTGTAAGAAATTTATGAATTCCAATTATTTCAAGTTTATTCGATGGAACTATTATATTTTAATTGAATATTTAATAGTTGACCGTTGCCTAATAAAGGAAGGAGATGGTCCGGGGTTGCGGTCATAAATAGGCTAAATAGTGGTAAATCTATTTTATTGAAAGCCAACGTTTCGACCCGACTTTGCAGGTCTTCATCAGGGAGGTGTGTTCGTTTAGGAGTTTCACTTAGAACTACTAGATCCAGTTCTAAGTGAAACTCCTAGATGAACACACCTCCCTGTTGAAGACCTGCAAAGTCGGGTCGAAACGTTGGCTCTCAATAAAATAGTTTTGCCACTATTTAACCTATTTAAGACCGCAACCCCGGACCCTCTCCTTCCTTTATTATATTTTAAAGAAAAGTTCCTTTAATAAATTATATTAAACGTTTTATATAAAAGAAATAAAATTGAGGTAATGGATAGTAAATTTATATACAGATCTAATGATGATGAAAAATCTAGTTAATCATTATGTAATGAACATTAGCAATAAATGGAAAAGAATTAATAACAACGATCATCTTAAAAAAAATCATTACTTTAACTTTTTTTTTTTGCTATATTTAGATAGAAGATCTATTTCTTATTAGCCTATTAAAGTTTTATTTTACTTCTATTTGAATAGCTTTATAAAGAAAAGGGGTCGTTCTATAGAATGAAACTTTTCAGGGAATGCAAATGACTTCCTGTACACCAAAATTTACCTATTTTATAAAAAAAATGTACAATATTGATGTACCACTAAAAGTTGATTGAAAACTAGTTAAATGAAGCCCTTTCATTGTGAAACTATTTTTTTTTTTTTTTATAGATTTATTTGTTCAGTTCAGTCTTATATTTATATTAGTTGAAACTGTAAAAAAAAAATAGGTATTGCAAACAGAACTTTTACTTACTATCCTAATATTTAAATCAATTTGAATTTAAATAATTTACACATGGTTTGAGTAAACTTAATTAAAAATTAAATGGCCTTATGAATAAGTATATTTTATTTTTTGATACTAACCTAACAATTTTACATTTTATCAAACTCATAATATTTCTATTATATAAATATACCATCGAACTCGATAGCTTTATTGTATTTTTAAATAACAAATAAAATTATCCTGTATATAAGTAGAAAAATAGTCCTATCCCCCCAAATTTCTGGAAACAAAGTTATGAAGAAAAAGAAACTTTATTTGCAAATAACTCAAAAAGTATGCTTTTTTTATTGTACCAATAATAATTAGAAAGGTTACTAAATTACCTAAAAAACAAAAAAGAAAAATCGTAAAAATCTCTTATCAAAAGATTTCCTATCAACCTTATGAATCGATTGACGTAGAGAAATTATATAGTCCTTTCTTTTCAGTGGGGATATCTTGCTAGGACGTCAAAGAATTCGATACCTTCTGGAGGTCGACGTCTGTTATGGAGTTTGACTATTTATTGCCTGTGTTATCATTTTACCATATTTATTTTTCGAGCCTCCTATTAATTATCATTATATAGAAATATATCTAGCATGCGCATGTTGTTTTTGTCATCTTAGTTATTTATATGCACATGGTTATTTTGATAAACTTTTTTTTATTAGTGGGTTTCTATTTATTGTGAATGTTAATATATTTATTGCAGTTAGTATTATAGTAGATTCTATTTATTAACTTTGTACGTAATTTAGCTTATAGATATAGGTCCATGCATGTTGACCAACATAATATACTCACAGAAGCTCAATTGCAATTATTCATTATTTTTCCTGGCACCTGTCTTAAACAGGATTTAATAAAAAAAAGGTCTTTGACTTTAGAACTTTGATATGAATAAAAAAAATGTAGGTAGAGAAAGAGAAAGGGTCGATCGTAATGTAATATATCAAAAAATCTTGTTAACCAGTAATGAAGAGCCATCAGCGACGATTTGATGGATGCTGCTCGAGTCAGTTAAAAGATTTCTCCAAGTATGATTGTGATTCCAACGATTTAGGTTGGAAACGTTATATTCGTTACAGTATCTTTGATAAATGGGTTCTATTAATCCTTCCTTTATAAACCTGTTGTTATTTATGTTCCTTTGAGAAATAAAATAAAAATCGGACAAGAGAGGAAGGAGAGAATAATGGATTCTTATCATTGAGTCCAAATGTATTTCTTATAATCCAATAAATTTTTTAAAAAAATATGTTTCTTTTTTTTAAAGGCAGTAACATTGGTGCGTAATTGAATGTGAATTATGTCCTCAATAAATTATAGAGTTCTTCTGAGTTTAGAGTTTCGCTAAGTATAAAACCTTTTAGCTGTAACTTTTTCGAAATCGCAGATAAATCCGGATGATTAATGGTTTCAATTTTATTCCGAAATTCGTTGCTGTTCAGTATAAGGTCAAAAACATACGATGACTATTACTGGAATTTAATTTAAAACTAGGTGATTTAATTTATTTATTAATCTAAAGAAATAAAATACAGAATAAAACAATCAAGCAAAATTTACAACAAGTAAACTAATATAGTAAAAAGTGAGAAAACTGTACTAGAAAGTATTAACAATGATAAATTTACTAAAATATGTCTGAAAGGAATTTAATTTAAATTATAAATAATTACGCAATGCCTAATGAATTCATTGATGCAATTTATTTGAGATGGGCGATACTTGATTACTTTTCATGATTTGAGTACTTTTATGGAATACACAGTACTGTTAATACTTGACATATTCTGCGTAATTTCTTAAAAGTGCTTTTCTTATACTCATAAGTTAGTTAAGTGCAAAAATTAGATAGTCGAAGTTGATTTTGTTTTTCAAAAAGTACTAACATTCACTAGTGGATCCAGGATTCAATTCGGGAGGGAGGAGGCTTCAGCCCGAATTTTTTTTTCTCAGAAAAATTACGATAATTACTTTGGAAAAAAAGGAAAGAAAGAAACTAACTATCTATATGAAATGGTATTTAAGTGATGCCAAAAGACCTTTTAAATGTAATTAAACAAACAATAACACTTTAAGAGATAAAGTCCCAAAGAGAGCCCCAAAGCTCTCCCTCCCTCTCCGTTGATCCGCCCGTGCTAACATTTACAATCATCCGAGTACATTACCATTTACCAACTACTCTATTAATTAAAAGTCTATCATAACTTCTATTCCTGATATTTCTCAAATCAAATTGATATTTGTCAGGAATTGATCGAGGAAATA